TTTCCTAATTTACTTTTCAGGTTTCTCATTGTTAGTGTATAGAAATGCCACTGATATTTATGTATTGATTTTTTATTCTCAACTTTGATGAATTCATTTATCAATTTTAATAGTTTTTATGTGGAGTTTTTAGGAATTTTTATATATAAGATCAAATCATTGTTAAACAGAGATAATTTTACTTCTTTCTTTCCAATTTGATGCCTTTTTTTTCATTGCTTAATTGCTCTGGTCAGAACTTCCAGTACCGTGTTGAATAGAAGTGAAAGAGGGCATCTTTGCCTTGTTTCTGATCTTAACCTAAAGGTATCCTGTCATTGAGTTTGATATTAACTAGGACCATTGTGTTTTCATTTTCGTTTGTCTCCATCTATTTTTTTGATGCTTCAGTTTTTTTTTTAAGATTTTATTTGTTTATTTGAGGGAGAGAAAGAGAGAGTGCACACGAGTGTGGAGGAGGGGCAGAGCGAGAGGGAGAAGCAGGCTCCCCACTGAGCAACAAGCCTGATGTGGGGCTCGATCCCAGGACCTCAGGATCATGACCTGACCCAAAGGCAGATGCTTAACTGACTGAGCCACCCAGGTTCCCCTAATGCTTCAATTTTTATTTAAGTTCTAGTTAGTTAGCATATAGTGTAATGCTGGTTTTAGAAATAGAATTTAATGATTCATCATTTACATAAAACACCCAGTGCTCATCACAACTGCCCTCCTTAATACCCGTCACCCATTTAGCCCATCCCTCACCAACCTCCCTTCCATAGGTTTTCTTTGCTGTGGAGAAGCTTTTTATCTTGATGAAGCCCCAATAGTTCATTTTTGCTCTTGCCTGTGGAGCATGTGTATTAAGAAGTTGCTGTGGCTGAGGTCAAAGAGGTTGCTGCCTGTGTTCTTTAGGATTTTGATCATTTCCTCTCTCACATTTAGGTTTTGCATTCATTTTGAAAAATTTTTTTGTGTATGATGTAAGAAAGTGGTCCAGTTTCATTCTTTTGCATATTGCTGTCCAATTTTCCCAACACCATTTGTTGAAGAGGCTGTCTTTTTTTCCAGTGGATATTCTTTCCTGCTTTGTCAAAGATTTATTGACCATATAGTTGTGGGTTCATTTCTGGGTTTTCTATTTTGTTTGATTGATCTATGGGTCTGTTTTTGTGCCAGTACCATACTGTCTTGATGACTACAACTTCGTAATATCGCTTGAAATCCATAATTATGCTGGCTCCAGTTTTACATTTCTTTTTCAACATTGCTTTGGGTATTTGGGGTCTTTTGTGGTTCCATACAAATTTTAGGATTGTTTGTTCTAGCTATGTGAAAAATGCTAATGCTATTTTGATAGAGACTGCCTCAAATGTGTAGATTTTTGTGATTGTATGGACATTTAACAATATTTATTCTTCCAATGAGCATGGAATATTTTTCCTTTTCTTTCTGTCCTCTTCAATTTCTTCTGTAAGTGTTCTATAGTTTTCAGAGTACAGATCTTTTACGTCTTTGGTTAGATTTGTTCCTAGGTATCTTATGGTTTTTGGTGCAGTTGTAAATGGGATCAATTCCTTGATTTCTCTTTCTGCTGCTTTATTATTGGTGTATAGAAATGCAACAGATTTCTGTATGTTGATTTTGTATCCTGTGACTTTGCTGAATTTGTGTATCAGTTCTAGCAATTTTTTGGTGGAGTCTTTCAGATTTTCTACATAGAGTATCATATCATCTGCAAATAGTGAAAGTTTGACTTCTTCCTTGTTGGTTTGGATGCCTTTTATTTCTTTTTGCTGTCTGATGGCATTCTTTTGCATATTGCTGTCCAAGAGGCTTGTCTCTATGTATTTTTTTTATTTCCTCTTTGATTTCTTCATAAACCCATTGGCTATTTAGTAGCATGTTGTTTAGCTTCCAAGTGTTTGTGTTTTTTTCCAGTTTTTTCTTGTGATTGATTTTTAGTTTCATACAGCTGTATTTGGAAAAGATGCATGATGTGATTTTAGTCTTCTTAAATTTATTGGGACTCATTTTGTGGTCTAACACATGATCTATTTTTCCATAAGTCTCTGAGTTACTTTCTAGCATCCTTTCATTTCATCATGCGGAACAGATCTAATGGTAACAAATTCCCTCAGCTTTTGTTTATCTGAGAATATTTTTAATTTCTCTCTCACTTTTGAAGGATGGTTTTTCTATTCTTATATATAAAAATTATATACTCTCTATTCTATTCTTCTGGGGCTATATTAAAGGACTTCCACATTGTTCTTGATGATCTCTCATGAGTCACTTAGGCTCTTTTTGCTTTCATTCATACTTTTTTTCTTTTTTGCTCTTCTGACTTGTTTTCTTCAAGTTCACTGATTCTTTCTTCTGTTTAAGTTTTTTTTTAAATAGTTTCTGTCTCTTTCTTGATATTCTTATTTCATTCATGCATTGTTTTGCTGATTTTATTTAGTTGGCTTTCTGTGTTCTTTTTTTTTTTTTAGCTCATTGATCATATTTAAGATGGTTATTTTGAATTCTTTGTCCAGTAATTCATAGATATCTGTTTATTTAGAACTTATTTCTGGAGATTTATTGTGTTTCTTTGATTGGCCATGTTTCTCTATTTCTTTTTATGTGTTGTGATCTCATGTTGAGATTTAGGCATTTGAAAAAAACTGTCACTTCTCCCAGTCTTTATAGATTTGCTTTGTACAAGGGAAGGCCTCTATCAATGAGTCTAGCTAAAAACTCTGGGGCACTCTCATGCCTTTTCTGGGAATATGACTTCTCTGGTCTTGTTTGTATGCTTTCCCAGTTAAAGTTTTTTATTATTATTTTTTATTAAGAACTTGTAATCTCTTGCTCACCTTGGTATCTTTAATGCTATAGCTTCTCTGGTGCTGTGGTAATCTGTGATATTTACCTTGTTCTCAGTGTCCTTCAATCTGGCATTCAAAGTATACTGCCTTTTTCATTAGTGCTCTGAGTCTGAGGAAATAGAAACCATTTACTTTCTAATTTCCTATTTTATTGTGGTGTTTTTAATCTTAGGGTGAGTTTTTATTTCTCCAACACTGGACTTAAGTTTGAATTGGTGTGAAATGTGTTTATTTTTATTTTATTTATTAATTATTATTATTATTATTTTTTAAAGTGGGCTCCATGCTGGGCTGAGATTAAGAGTTGGATGCTTAATTGACTGAGCCACCCAGGGTGGCCTGAAATGTATTTATTTTAAAAATTATGTTTCCATTGGTAGTTTACTAATAGACAGGAGCCAGGTAGCATGATTCATTCACACCAAATTGTCTCTTAACATTGCTAAGAATATGTGTTCTTTTTAATGTTTTATATAGAATTATAATACTGATTTTTTGAGCTATTTTACTTCTTTCTTCTCTATACATGTAGTTTGATTTTCTTTAATATTTTCTTGATTAAAACCTAATATTCCTTCACAGGAGTTAAAGGTTATTGCTCACATGTGCTAAAACAGAATGTGCGGGGTGCCTGTGTGGCTCCACTGGTTAAGCGTCCAGCTCCTGATTTTGGCTCAGGTCATGATCTCGGGGTTGTGAGATCAAGCCCCATGTTGGGCTTCATGCTGGGTGTAGAGCTTGCTAAAGATTCTTTCTCTCCCTGTGACCCTCCCTCATACTCTCTCTCCCTCAAACAAAACATAACAAAACAAAACAACACAGAATATGCACTCTGTATTGGTAGATTCTATGTACCAGAAGGATTACAAAGCCTAAATGCATTATTGTAATTTTCTGCTGAAATGGAAATAATGTTGACTAGATCTAGAATATATTATGCTAATCACTAGTTTTGAAAGACTGAAGGGGAGAGGCCAAGTTAAGTCCAGTTTGAGTTGGTCTTTTGGGGCTAGGGCTAAGTAACCAAAATATACAGGTTGGTTATGCTTGCCAAGATTATATAGGTGGTTTGGAGGAAAGTAAGAGATAGCAGCTTGAGTGCAAGGTCAAAAGTCCAAGATCTATGGGCTGAACACAAGACCCCTTCTCCTGACTTGTCTATGTGAGGCAGCAGGGCAGGGCATGGATTTTGGTGTCTTGGAGGAGTGGTGCTTTGGGAGGGGAGAACTGAACACAGCCACAGAAGGCACTGCATTCAGATAAGGGCCTGCAGAAATTTTACCCAATTTCAGGGGGAACCTTAGAGATATAAAGGTATAAAGGACAGATTTCAGACTGGACACATGTGGTGGATGTCAAGTGGGAGGCTATTGTCGGCTTAGGGCTCTGTCTAATTCAGAGCATGTAGACATTGGGAATGCTTTAGCTATTCAGTAGACTGTTGTTAAGCTTCACTTGGTCAAGGTGGGGAATGGCTGACAGTTTGATGCCAGTCTGGTTGGTTTTGGTTTGGGGTCTGAGTTGAGCAGCCTTTAGTTAGCAGTGATCATAATGACCCTGTGATTAGACAGTGGCAGGAACAGGAAGGAAGAGGCTCTATTTTTAGCAGTTAAAAATGCAGATTTGGAAACCACTGGAGCTATGTTTGAAACTAAATGCCAATATTTCTTATTTGAGTAACTTAACTAATATCTCTGAACTTTAGTTTTAGTTTTCTCATTGAGATAATAATGCCATATTCAAAGGATTGTAAAAATAAAATGTCTTATCCAATGGAACTTTCTCTGATGATAGAAATGTTTTTTAATGTCCAAGTGATAGCTACTAGACATGTGTGGCTACTGAGCACTTGAAATTTAACTAGTGAAAATGAGTAACTGAATTTTATTTAGTTTAAATTAATTTAAATAGCCACATGTGGCTAGTAACTAGTATACTGGACAGCAGCTATAAATGATAGCTGTTATAGGGACTACTTAAAATATAAAAAGTTAGCTTTTTAGAATTTCCTTGACTGATATGTTCTTTCAGTTACTAATTTTTGTGCTTGTCATATTTTGTTTGATGTGCAGTGAAATATATACAATATTTCTATCTTGGAGAAAAAAACAAACATTTTAATAAGCATAAAAGAGACAATATATACATGCAAGATATATAATATACTTTAATCTTAATCACAAAATAATTATACCAAGTGTATAGGATTTCAGAAAAGCAAATGCTTGTGTTGTAATGAGCACTGGATGTTATAAGCAACTAATGAATTGTTGAACACTACATCAAAAACTAATGATGATTTAAAAAAAAAAAGAAAAGCAAATGCTCTCTTCAGCTTTCAGTATTTGCAGGAGGAATGAACCACTCGTGCTGGTCATTGAAGCATATTATATGTTTTGGATAGGTAGAAAGAAAGGAAAGGATATTTCAGATGGAGACATGGTGAAAATAAAACTAGTAGGATAGGAACCTGCAAGGTGTGATCAGGTCTCAGTGAGTAGTCTTATTTGCTGAAGCGTGGAGGTGGTCTAGAAGGTGAAATTAAGCTAGGAAAGTGGTTTAGAAAATGAGCTCCACCATATCATACCATTATAGCTGCCTTTGAATTGATAGCTAAAAAGCATGGGATTTATCTTTCAGGCAGTAAAAATTCAGAATCACTGAAGTTATTTAGAGCTAAAGAGAAATATAATCAAAATCTTGTTTTAGGAAAGTAACCCTGGTAGATGTACAAGAAACAGAGAAATGAGTTAGGAAGCTTATACTAGTATGGACAAGAGGTAAAAGTTTTCTGAACTAGAAGGGTGACTATACAAATGAGACTCTGTACAGGTAAAACTGACAGATATTGCTGTGGATGCACTGGAAGGAGGTGAGTCGAGATATGACTCCAAGACTCAATCATAGCATTGGCTAGAGAGAGAGAGAGAGACTTAAGTATATAGGATGTGGTAAGAGATAGGGATAGATGTATTATAGTAAGAACACTGAGGTGAATTGGAAAGTTTCATGGGGAAACAGAGTCACTTGATGGTTACTTGGCTACCAAGAAATTTCTGGGAGAAAATCACTATCTATATATTTTAGTGATGCATTGGAAAGTTAGCCTGAACCAACACTCACTCTGAAAACTTTAGTGTTTTTTTATATAAGGAATGAAGCATTTAAAATATGTCAACAAACACATGATCTGTAGAAAACTTAAATATAGTGATAATCAACAATGATGCCATCCATGATTGTAACAGTAATTATTGAACTTCCTTCCTTCCACTTTGCCATCCTGCTCTCACTCTCCACCTTGCCCCCAAACTCTGCTAGCTTTATCCCTACTTTTTTAAGAGTGAACAAAAGCAAACACAATAATCAACTAGTCTGAGAACCTGAATCCAATATCATGTGGTCTGGGTAATAAAGTTTTATTGATTATTACCAATAAATTAGGTAACAAACTAAAAAATTTTGGTTCTTTTCTTTTTTATGAGAATTGGAAGTGGAAAGTTATATTGGTATCAGCCATTTTCTTCTCATAGTCTTCATTAAATCTCTCATTCTGAGCAACAGTAAAGTGATTCTTCCAGTCTCCAACTGTCCCTGAAACAGTCATGTGGGAGAGAGTCAGTTTGCATTTCTCTACTCTCCTGTTTTTGTGTGAATATTTCAGGGGGGCAATATTGGACAAAATATTCCTCTTGCTAACCTGTCAATTTCATTCTGAAGGGAAGAAGAATTTCTTACCTGATTTGTGGAACAAGGAGAGCCCATTACCTACTGAGTCACATTAATGGGGGAAATGAAACTACCACAATTAAAACAGCAGGCCTGTGGGGATTTCTTTTTCTCCTGCCCTCTTTGCACATCGAAGTGTGGTAGGTGCTTATGCCTGTAGTTTCCATCTATAGGCCCACTGAGAAGGGCTTGTATGTGGGAGAATTCAAGGTATAGTTTTGAGGAAGAAAACCAAAAAAGAAGATCCCCCAAATTTTCCAATTGCAATCCCTGTTACCTTTCTGCAGATTGTTTTTTTCCCATAGTGCTTACCATCATCTATTATCCTGGGTATTCTTGTTTATTTTGTTTGTGGCTAGAATATAATGTTCATGAGGGAAGAAATTTCTGTGTCTTGTTCACTGCTCTGAACATTATCTAGAACAGTGCCTGACACATAGTAGCCACTCAGTATTTTTGAATGGATAAACCTAACTGATAGCATAGAGCCCTTATAAACCCATTATAAAATGGATTCTTTACCCCATCTGACTTAATTCTGTGTTTTCACCTTGTCAGCCAGATCTCTGGAGAGAAAGGGAGGATAAGGAATTGGATGTAGACACCACACCTCACTCTCTAATTGTTTTCATTTCATTCCTGGTTTCCTACTTCTTTTCGCAGAATCATTTGTTATAGATCTTATTTTTCTTAGCCACAGAAAACTCCCTCAAAGCTGTGAAAGATTGGGCAAAAGAAAGTATAAAAACCTTTTCTCATGAATGGAGAAACAGTGTGGTTCATGATTTTAGTAGAAATCGACGAATAGTTTGCCATTGGGTTCTGCTTCATAACATCAAATGAGGTGTGATGGACAATTTTATCTAGGATTTCATCATGTAGGTTTTTCCCAATAAATTCTGCCACCTTCTGAATTTCATGCTTTGGATTCTATAATGAGAGTAAAGTGAAGATTTGATATCAGATAATTGGTTTAAAAAGAATATTGAAATGAATTAATAATAGTAATTAGTAACATGTCATGAGTTAAAATAAAAAAAAAAAACTTAGGGGCACCTGGGTGGCTCAGTCAGTTAAGCATCCAACTCTTGATTTTGGCTCAGGTCATGATCTCAGGGTTGTGAGATTGAGCCCCGTGTTGGGCTCCATGCTTAGTGTGGAGTCTGCTTGAGATTTTCTCCTTCTCCCTCTGCCCATCCCCCTGCTCTCATGCACTCTCTCTCTCTCAAATAAATAAATAAATAAATAAATAAATAAAATCTTTAAAAAAATCTCTCACAAATACTCAAACTATCCAGAAATGATTCATTTTAATATGATGGCCCATATTGTTCTCTTTTTTATTAACTGGAACTACTAAGCTTTTCTTGCTCTAACATGGAAGCAAAAACTGAGTGTTATTAGAGAAACATTCACTATACAATGACATACAGTGCATGGAGAATGCTTCGCTAAGAGCTATGCCCAAGTGTCCCATGCAAGTCAGTTATGGGAGGAGTCTTGGTCAGCCAAATGTGTATCAGAGAGAGTCCATAGACTGATGATAAGAACAAAGACATTGCAGAAGCATAGGGGCAGACAATTTAACAAGGGTGTCTCCTATTTATGACATTGATAGAAATGTCCCAGACCATCTGAGTGGTGGCAGTCAATGGTAGCAAGAAAATGAGAGATGACTATTTTGCACCCATGAGGTACTCAAGAGGCACCCATGGCTAGTAAGTCTACTCCCCAGCATGTTCAGGTGTTTATGTATCCCTGAGAGGAGCTCATTTCCAATGTCTCCTCATTAGAGGGACACACAACCCTGAGGAGCTGTGGCTATGGGAAGTCCCTACCTTTAAAAGGAGTGGTAGGGGAAGGAAAGTGGAAAGGTTTAGCCTGACAACTGTGTCTTCTGCTTAAAAGCTTCTATGTCAAAAGTAGTACTTAATTTAATTGGCCTCACATAGACTAGGAATCAGCAAGAGTGGTGAGAATACTGAGCTTTGTGTGACTATTCAGGGGACATTCCAGAACATGACCACAGAAATATTTAAAAGGGCTCTAGGGACTCTGAGGTTAGACTACCTGCTCAATAAAGTTTCTTCATGGCATTCATAATACATTAGGATGTACCTTGTTAAAAGGGCATCATTCCTGGTGATATATCTTTCTTTGACACTGCTATGATACATATGGTAGACAAGCATCACCTACATGGAGTTTTCCTATTCTGAGTTTAATAGCACCCTTCCTTCTGTGGCTTCCTCAGTTTCTCATATCTACTCATGAAAGGGAAACTCCCCCCTTATAGCATACAACTCCCTGCCACAATATTTAACTATCTAAATCTAGAATTCTGTGAGTAGATAACTCTTTGTGCTAAAATAGGAATATGTCCAACTTTTTCTGTTTGAAAAAACTATAGAGTGGCATCTAAGCAACAACAACTAAACTCATAGATACAGAGAAGAGATTGATGTTGCCAGAAGTGGGGAGTGGGGGGTGGCAGTTGGGGTGGGCAAAATGGGTGAAGAGGGTCAAAGGATACAAACTTCCAGTTATAAAGTAAGTAAATCCTGGGGATGTAATGTACAGCATGGTGACTACGGTTAATAATACCGTGTTGTATATTTGACAGGTGCTAAGAAAATAGATCTTAAAAATTCTCATCACAAGAAAAAAAATTCTGTAACTATGTGTGGTGATAGATGTTAACTGGACTTGTTGTGGTGCTCATGTCACAATATATACAAATATTAAATCATGTTGTACACCTGTAACTAATACAATGTTAAATGTCTATTATATCTCAACTAAAAAAATAGAAAAATTATGCTGTTTCACTCTTTTGATGTCTGTAGAAACAACTAGATGAGGCCCAGCAGTGACTGAACTTCAGAGTTGTGCATCTAAACTAATGTGCCCATAAATACCCTAGGCATCTTATAAAGTGCACATTCTGACTTAGCAGGCCTGATGCGGTCTCTGAGAGCCCCATGCAGCTAATCTGTGAACCACCTTTTGAGTACCAAGGCTTTCAATGATAAATTGAAGAACAAAGACTGTAATTTTCATGGATCCCTGTATTTAGTTAAGTCATAGATAGTATTTAGCATATTATCATTTTTAACATAATGATGGTATATCATTATATATACTATATAGTATAATGATAATATATATTATATAGTAACTCCCATGAACATCATCTTATTTAGTCCTCATATTAGATCTTGGAAGAGTATATATTACTACCTAGTTTTTGCATTTAGGGAAATTAAGTAAGTTTCTAAGATGTTAAGTGTCCTCACCAAGAATAATTGCCAGTAGGTAGTAAAGCCAGAACTTGAATTCATCTAAATCATTAGTATTTTCCATTACACCCTAACTTCTTAAACCATTTCTTGAAATTATGACATTTCTCAAGTACTAATGAAAAAACCCAAAATGTACTAGAAAATGTTTTCCTTTCTAAACAGAATTTTAAAATAGACATGAAAGGGGAAAAAAGGTATCACTCATATTTTGCCTATCTGGAAAAGGTGTACCATATGGGATATACTCTGGGGAGCACCAGGAAATTAGAGATGAAACTATGTGATACGTAAACTCATGATATGCCATGTATGCTTTGATGCATGGAGGAGTAGCTAATGAAATGCAGCATTTTCTATTCCCTGTTTCAATCTGTGAGTCCCCAGTGGGGTCCATATATTATTACCTAAATGTCTTATGGTCCAATGGGAACACATTAGATAGCATTGCCCCTCACCTTCTTCACGTCCTCATAGAAGAGGTAGAGAATGCGGTGTTGGTCTTTGGCTTTCCACCATCCTTTCACATGGTCATGCCAAGAACCCCAGCACACTGCAAGGAGGGATGAAAAACAGGGTAATGAATAACAGAAGCCCAACAAATATTCCACTGAAAGGAGAGTTTCTAAAGAGAGGGAGAGTATCACACTGATGATTTCTTCACAGTAAAACAGGCAGAACCCTGGCTGTTCTAAGGAAATGATTCTTTCCTTTTAGAGTGTTTGAGGATTTTGAGAAAGGAAGGAAGAAAAGCTGAATTCTCTTACCTTTCCCAGCCAGAAAATTCTCAAAATACTCTTCCCAGGTTCCTGGAGCAGGAAGAGCTTTATTCATTCTTTGGAAATGGTAATAAGATACCATATTGTCCTTTGGATTTCTTGCTACATAGATTATCTAGGAATGGCAGGAGGAGGGAAAGAAGCAAAAATAGGATTAGACTTATATGTAGTTATTATCCATACAAATTATGTTCAAGTGGATACATTCCATACAGATGAGATTTTCTGATGCTGTATTCTTGTGATCTTGGTTTTTGTGGGACTTGAAAAGGATTCAAATCAATTTGCATATTGATTATTGTGAAGAGATAGACTCTCTGTTCTTTAACAAGCGAAGTTTTTTTTTTTTTAAGATTTTTTATTTATTTGTTTCTGAGAAAGAGAGAGAGAGGTGAGGGACAGAGGGAGAGGGAGAGAATCTCAAGCAGACCACACTCTGAGCATGGAGCCCTATGTGGGGCTTGATCTTAAGACCCTGAGATCATGACCTGAGCTGAAACCGAGAGTCAGATGCTTAACCAACTGAGCCACCCAGGTGCTCCAAAAAGTAAACTGTTTTAAGAGGAAATTGAAGACCACTCTAGGGTTGTTCTAAGGAGTAAACTGTGAATTCCTTTTAGTTTTTACCTTACAGTTTTTTTCTATGAAGGATGGTGGCAGCAAGTGGATGGGAAGATGTGTTTTCAGAGTCCGTGGTGAGGGCATTTCATTAGCTTGGTCCAAACCTGTAAAATTGATTTTTGATCACTTCCCACTATTTCTATTTGCTTCAAAATCTTGCTGCTTCCATTATTACTGTTTTAGGAACAATTGAACAATTCAAGTCATCTGTGAGAGCACTATAACTGTAAATTTGATCAGAGAGAATATTTCTAGCCTATAAATGATTTTTTTTTTTAGCTGGAACAGTTTTTAACCATAACAAACAAGAAAATAGATAAATAAGAACCTAAAAAATTCAAACTCTTCCACCATGAAATTATTTTACTTGGACTCATCCTTGTGGAATAAAATTAATTTCTAACGGAGAATAAAAACTTAACTTACTTTTGTATAAGCAGTAACTCCATTAGAAAATGTCTGGAGTACAACAATGGCCAGACATACTTAAAAAAATGCAAAGTCACAGAATTCCTTAGTAATTGCTTGAATGCCTAGAATTTAATTTTTTTCTAGTTTTTCAAAGTACTTATATTAATTCTTATGTCTTTTCTATTAGTTTTTTTCAGCTTTAATGCCTAGAATTTTTAAAAAAGATTTTATTTATTCATCTGAGACACAGAGATAGAGAGAGAGCACGAGCATGGGGAGAGGCAAAGGGAGAGGGAGAAGCAAGCTCCCCGCTGAGTCAGGAGCCTGATGTGGGGCTCCATCCCAGGACCCTGGGATCATGACCTGAGCCGAAGGCAGGCGTTTAACCATCTAGCCACCCAGGCGCCCCGAATGCCTAGAATTTTGAGAGGGCTATGTGATAGCAAAAATCCTAAGTGTATATTTCGGACCTTAGTCAAGTGTGGCTATTTGATACTTACCAGATGCTATGGATGGGATTATCCATTCGATGAAAGGAATTCGTACATGAGTAGGTGCTCGTTGACTTTTGTCAATATCACCTTCATTTTGTATTAAGTCCACTATTTCCTGAGTCCATGTTGTTCCTTATTCCACATGTAAGATGATGATGCATAGACATTTAGTATATTACATTTCTTAAAATATGATTATACTTATTAGAACATCTCTCTGAATTTTAAAGCTAGGTTTATAGTGGAATTCAGAAAACATTTTTTATTTATGTCTTGTGTTATCATAATGTGAATTTTTTATACAAAGGCTGCAATTTGGAGTGGATATTATATTGATAAATATGCAGTTTATTTTTTTGCCTGTCACAACCATTAATTTGGATTTCCTATTGATGTAGCTGCATTGTTCTAAGAATGAAAGGTCTTTCTCACCTGATTATAATCTCCTGGAGAGTAATCACTATGTGATTACTGTTTCCCAAGTACATAGTGTGCGGTTGCCACATAGGAGGTATTTAATATGTGTTGGCTGAATGAACAAATGAATGATTATTACCTGGGCTTGATATTGATCATTAGTACTTAGTATCCATTTTCAATTGTTTCTCAATTTTCCCCTTATCTCAGGGACTGAAAGGCTAAAAAGTATATTCCCTAGACTTCTTTACCACTAAGCTTTTGAATACTATTTAGATTCTGCTGATGAAACGCATTGGAAGGTGGAAGAGAGGTAGAGGTCATTCTTCCCAAGGTGGTAACACTGATGGTAGCTCCCAACAGATAGAAATTTTGCACAGGCCATACACATTTTGCTGCCTAGTGCCTTGAACTCAAGAAGCCACTGGAAGAATGGCTTCTGTCTCCCAGCCTCAGTCAGTTTCTGTGTGCTGCCTGATTCAGACTATTATAGTTCCTACCAAATGAATCTTCAGACTTTGATGAGGAACTGTTGTACCAGATATTTTGACAAATCCATGTCGGGAAGATGTTTGACAATTTTAGGATGGTTCTCTGAATCCTGGATATGGGCTGATCTTCCTATATTCTCTAACACCAGCTCTCATTACAGATGCCTTTTCTCATACTGTCAATTCAGTGCTTTTAGTCCTACAGGAAGGGCATAAGTCAGGGAACAATGAAAATATTACATTTTATATCCTAGATGAGTTAGGTCTCTAATAATTTCTGGCACCAACTCTTTCATTACAGGATAAAGGACCAATATTTCTTTAGCTATCTAATCAAAGAGAGAGCTCTTTGTACTGATTTTATGTGTTCACTCTGAATTTACAGCCATTTAATGCCAGCTAACATTAGGGCAGGTTCACGTGTTGCTAGAGGTTTGGGGATGAATGGAATGACTTCTCAATTCATCCTCTAGAAATCAGTGATTTTATAATATATTTTTCTCTTGGCTCATTCCCAGAGTATTTATTATTCTTTTTAAAAATTTAGGTGTAAACCACATTTTTTGTCTATGCTTATTTCTTCTTCCCTCTAATAAATATAACTTTTATTAATGGGTAAGGTTTTAGTTATGATTAAATGTTACATTAGCTGGCAAGCATTTTTTTTTTTTGAGTGTGTTATTTGGGTCATTCAAGCCTTATTAACCCTAACCCTTAAAAACCTTAAATGAACCAAATCTTACTGCTCACATTTGGCAGGTGGAGAAAAGATTAATTTTAAACATCGTACTTAAATGATGTAAACATGTACTGAAATGATGATAAAGTAGAGCTGTGGACAAAATTAAGACTGTGAGATGTGATCCTCACCAGTGATTACTTTTACGTTCACATTAGGAAAGTTTAATCCTGAACAGGCTCTTGATGAGTAAGATTAGAAAATTAGGACCAATATGAAACTGATGGATAAATGAGAGTCTAAGACTCCCATCTGCTGGCAGTCTTTTATCAGGATCATTAGAGATAAAGACTCAAGAGGGGTTTGAACATACAATCTCAGAAATGCTTAGATTTAGAGTTTTTGGTGTGTGTGCACATGTGTGTGTTTTGATGTGAACATCTGTGTGTGTGTAAGAGGAGTTATTGACAGGGAGCTTGATTTTGCAAAAACCAAATGTATATGCAATCTGGGTGTGAATTGAATAGTGTATTTTTAGTATATATGTAGATATGCATAAATATCTGCAGAGAACTATTTCTCCCTGCTCATCCTGAAATTTTTATGATACAGTGGCTGAACTCAAGAAGTCTTACTTCTACAGCAACTTTTGTTAAACTGATTATTGAAACAAGGAAGTAGGTTCACAACATACCACAAGGGAAGATAGAAATCAAAAGAGTAGTTCTCAGACCCTGAACAAGGGCTTCTGGAGGCTGCTGAGGTGAAATCAGCAATGCAGGACCAAAGCTCCCGTAATTCTTCCCCAAGCCAGCCTTAGGATCCCCTTTTTAGCTTACACACACAAAGCAGTTTTTTACAGGATCTGCAATAAGGGCCTGCATTGGGAACAAACAAATCAAATCTAGCCCATTAGTTCTTGGCTATTTGAGTCACTCTCTCCTGGGGAAGTAAAAAAATATGTACATTATAGGAAGAATTAAATTCTTAAAATTTTGTGTATTATTTTAATATTTTTTTCTGTAGTTTCAGTTTCCACAAGTGATTTGACTTAGCCATATCACTCTGTCCAGTAAACAATTTTCCAACCCAGATCAGTCTTTATTTCATTATTAATATTTTCCCCACTCACCTTCCTAATTCTCTTCTTCACCTCCCCACTTCCCCTTCCACCTACCTGCTTTAGGATAGGTGGCAATAAGCAGATCATCAGACTTGGCTTGGAAGTTCCAGATCTGGTCCCACATGTCACAGGTAGGTGTGGGTTGCAGAATCCCCTTCACGTAGTCGACAGGTAGGCGCTCTGTTCCATCAAATTTAAAATCCTCCATTTTGTTTAAGGCCATTAGTGTCAGAAATCAGAGTACTGCTCCAGATAAAATGTTACTGCTCAATCAGCACAAAGCTGAATTCTATTTATTGTACAGACAATGCAAAACAGACTGCAAGTTCTTCCTGGACAGTCTGGGGATGGCCGGCAGTCAAGGCAGAAAGTAGATACAGGTCTGCCAGCCCAAGTTCCAGGAAGCTTGGAACTACGGTCTAGGCCTTTGTACACAGGCGTTTTCTTAATGAGCTCCAGCCCTCCTCCTATCCAGGCTATGACGTAATACCAGAGGCCCTCCCAAATCCTGGCTGCTGTATCATGTTCATGTTCAGTCCTGCTCGTCTGTGTCAGTTTAACAAGAGTTAGTGCCATGTTGTTTAGGTTTTTCATCTTTGTGTTCATAAAATAATTTACAGATATTCACTAATTGTTTCTTCTGTGAATTTTAAGCTAATTAAAAAGTTACAGAGAATTTGCTCATGGAATTAGATAGCAATATAGAATAACTTCCTTGAAAGGCTGAAGGGAAATTTCTGTGGGCTCTTGGCAAGAAGGTCCTAGATTTGAATCTCCTAGCACAAATATCTGGAAGGGTCAGTGTTGTTATTTTTAAGAGTAAAATAAAATACACTCTATTAGAGAAGGTTCTCTTCCTTTTGTAGGCTGTACAGTGTCAGTATCAAAACAGGCATGTCTCATTTAAAGCAAAAGAGACACAGACAACTCCTTGCTTTTTCCTTGGAACCATTTCTGGTTCCCTCTTGAATTTTCTTCTCCTGTTTCAACCATTACCTCTTCTCTGCTGGCCACCTCTAAAACAAGGCCAGATTCCTTTTAGGTTTGTTTTTTTTTTTTTAAGATTTATTTTAGACAGAGAGAGAGAAAAAGAAAGTGAACACGTGTACATGAGTTGGGGGAGGGGCAGGTGGAGAGAATCTCAAGCAGACTCTCTGCTGAGTGCAGAGCCCTATGCCAGGCGTGATCTCAGAACCTTGAGACCATAACCTGAGCCGAAATCAAAAGTTGGATGCTTAACTGACTGAGCCATCCACGTGCTCCTCCTTTTAGTTTTTAACTGCTAAATATTACAGGTCACCCACCTAGTTTTCTTGTCTCTTACTGTGATATAAGGAATATATAGGACTTTGTCTCTGGTTCCTTGCACAGAGTTTCAAAAACTCTTGGAAGTTCCTGAGTGATTATTCATAATGAGTCCCTTTAGACTATTCCTGTTTATGCTAATGAGGTAGCTCCTGATGGCCCCCTAGATAATTTCAGAGGACAGACTGGCCACACCAGAAAGATCAGACAGGTGATTAGAGGGTTAGAATTTTCAGTCCCATCTCCAACCTCCAGTGAAAAGAGAGGGGCTAGAGACCGAGTCCAAGCATGCCGCCAATGACATGGTAAGACCTCAATAAAACTGCTCACTGAAGCTCAGTGGAGCTTCCTAGTTGGTGAACACATTTATGTGCTTAGAAGGTGGTATACTCAGATTCCATGGGGAGAAGGCATGGCAGCTCTGTGTTCCCTCTCTATCAAGAACTTGCCCTGGGCACCTCTTCCATTTGGCTGTTCCTGATCTGTATCTTTTAGGATAAAACTCTTAATTGTAGGGATAGTGCTTTCAGCGAGTTCTGTAAGTCATTCATTCTAGTGATTTGTTGAACCTAAGGGGTCATGGGAAGCTCCAAATTTATAGCTGGTTTCTCAGAAGTGCAGATGGTCCCCAAGACTTGTGGAGACATCTGAAGTGGCATCTGAAGTGGGGGCAGTTTTGTGAATAACTTTGCCTTTAACTTGGGGTCTGCACTAACTCTAGGTAGTTAGTGTCAAAACTGAATTGAATTGCAGAACACCCAATCAATGTCAGAGAATTATTGTTGGATTATCTTTCTTGCCCTAGGCTTTTTTAGAATCCATTCTGTTTCAAGCAATCAGGAATTTCACTTTTGCTTAAAGCCCTTTCCACCCAAACCTTTACAGCATCCCATGAGGGCTTTCACCTCCTACGGGACTGCAGCCAGAAGGGCCTTTGTTTCCATCCTGGCAGGCACCCAGCTCCCTCCTGCATTGATGCTGCCTTTCTTCTGTGGGTACTGTCCTGGCTATTGCTGGTTTGGTTCTTGTTTTTTTTTTTTTTGTTTGTTTGCTTCCTCCAAGTCTTTTTTAATGTCTTTCTTAAATGTACCCTTTCTGGAGAGGCTTTCTTTGAATTTCAGTGTCATCTGAACTGGTCCTTCCTATTTGCTTGCTTGTAGCACCTCCTTTCCTTTAGAACAGCCATCAGAATTTAGTCTTGCTTGTTTACTTGTTAACATTTTCTGCCTCCTATCCTATACTCTTAGACGTGTAAAACAGGGCCTGGGCTCTGTCTTGTCTTCTCACTCCATGCCAGCTCTATGCCTAGTGCCTAACATGCCACTATTTCTTGAGATAAAGAATGAGTAAACCTAAGTAGAAAATGGAAGAAGTGAGTTCTGTGAGCCATTATTATTGTGGGGATTAGGTGAGCCTTGTGGCTATCACTCGGTAGTCTGCAGACAGAAGTCAGAAGTCAGACTGCCTGTATTTGAATTCTGCACCAACTCCTAGTAGCTGTGAGTTACAGACTTGTCACACATTGGGCACCAAAGATGAAGTTATACCCTTTCCTCCTCTAATTCTTCACCAAACTACTACTACAGTAAACAACTACTACTTTTACCTCTTCTTCTTCTGACTCTGTTCCTATCTTTTTCTGGGTTTGAAAGGAGATTCCAACTCTCAGTGCACTCGTTGGATGTCCCAGTTGCAAACTTCAGTAACCTGTTCAGGCCACAAATGTGATCCATTGAAAAAATTATGACTGGGATTTCTAATCTGTTTTTCTTAGGAAAAGTCAGAGTACTGGTTACTCTCTTTAAATAGGTTCTTTTTTAGTGTTTTTACAAAAGGAATTTGTCTAAAATATATTTTGGTTCAGTAAGCTGTTTTAAAAGACAACCATTGGAAAGTGAGCTGAGTTTGTATTGAATAAAATTTAATTGGAATGCATTCACTCCTTGAATCAATATTTAGCTTAGGTTCATTAAAAATGCCTCATTTGTTATGCAAGTTTTCAACCTAAACCAGGAGGAAGGAACAATAAAGCCATAATCAATAAAACCTGAGCATCCAGACTGGGCTGGGATTGAGAAACATCTGTGGTTTACCCATAATTTGCTTCCATTCTACTTTATTCTATTTAGGTTGCTGAAACATCTGTGGTTTACCCATAACTTGTTTCCATTCTACCTTATTCTACTTAGAGTGCTCTTTTTTTTCTTTTTAAAGTAGGCTCCACACCCAACATGGAGCCTAGTGTGGGGCTTGAACTCACGATCCCGAGATCAAGGTCTGAGCTGAGATTAAGAGTTGGACACTTAACCAACTGAGCCACCCAGGCACCCCTCTATTTAGATTGCTTTAGTGGCTCTTTGTAATACTCTGTTCCAGAAATAAGTAGGGAAAAAAATGAAACTGAAATGAATTGTATTAATACTTGCTACTTTACTCAACTCCAGAGATTGGGGTTGGTTATGAACTCTAAGTGAAGTAAGGATGTAGGAAATCTTTAATCTCAGATAATTCCTTAAGAAACAAATATAAGAATCCTTTATATTTTCAGAAAAATAAGCTGTGTCAAAACACAGAACACCCAGTTGCATTTGAATTTCAGATAAATAATGAATGAGTTTTCAGTATAAGTATATCCCATGCAATATTTGGGACGTATTTAAACTTAAAATAATTATTTATTGTTTATCTGAAATACAAACATAACTGGGTGTTCTGTATTTTATTTGGTAACTCTAGGTAGTCAAGAAGATGTTAGCTAAATTTAACTTCAAAACAGAAAAACTGGAAGTTTAATGAGTGGGATTAGAAAGATGACTGAACTAGAAAGCCCTTCAGAATCCCACATAAGCTGAGTGACCTCCAGACTCTTTTCCACTGGTTTGTGGGTAAATGTGTACTGTTTGCACTTCCCAGTTAGTAGCATCTTTGCAGATTCCTTTTCTAGGCCTGGAGATTTACTCAGCTTGTTTTGTGGGGATGGCACTACTTCGTGGGTGACTATCGGTAAGGAAATGACACATAAAAATTTCAGTATGAAAAGCAGTGAATAAACAGAAATGGCAATCGAAATAGAATAAAGTAGAATGGAAGCAAATTATGGGGAAACCACAGATGTTCCAGTGTCTTAGATGAGACTTTTACGTATGCTTGGCCCTGATCGATCCTTATTAGTGTTGAGGGACCTAGGGGCAGGGAGAGATAGTGGGCACATGTGGGCACATTTGTTTCATGAGAAGCTTACTTCATTGTGCTACAGCATATCGCAATGCAGTGTATTCTCCAATATCCAGTTTACTCAAATGAAAAAAGAAAGAAAAGTATTTTGGTCCCCAAAAAGGAGTCCTTGAGCTCCCAGCACCAGTAAAGAAAGGCAAGAACAGCAGGGAAGCAGCCGTAGCTAACATGTTAGGAATTCTGATTGACTGGTAGGGTCCGAAAGCAGAAGGGGCACCCTTGTCTCTGAAACAGTTTGCGAGAACCACAAGGAGACCTCCTTCTCTGAACCGGGGAGTGCTTTTGCTTTGTCAGTGTTCCTAGGTCCTGAGGTTCTGTGAAGCAGCCATGGCCTGCCTCTGTTCCCAGCAAGTGGAGAGTGAGTAGGGGGTACTCTCCCTGCCTACCCCTCCTTTCTCATTTGAAAACAAGCACACAGGCTCTTTCTCTTTTCAAGCTTTAATGTTCATTGCTACAAGGAAACAGAAGGTTAAGAAAAGATAGCCAGTGGGGGATATATAGAATTTGTAATTTTACTGGTCTCTCTTTCCTGACTCCCTTCTGGACCAGGATTTAGCTGCTTTCAGAAATTAGAAGGTCAGAGGAGGGAGTTATCAGCATTAACATTGGGAAGAAAGGATGGAGACTGGGAGCAGGAGACTTTGGCCATTGATAAAGATATCCCCACAGATGAAGAGGGGAGGAGGAATTCCCATTTACTAAGGGCCTTCCATGTGTAAGATCTTGTGACTGCCTCAGTGGAAAAACATAGTCTCTGCTTTCAGAGAATTTGCAGTCTGATGCAGAGATAGATATGCAATAAAGCAATTAGAATATAGTATGATACTTACTTTAATGGAGTATGGACACAGTGTGGCTAGAGCATTGGAGAAGGAGCACTGAAGTCAGACTGGAC